ACCGGCTCCGCTTGCTTTGCCACCGGCCGACAGTCCCCCCCCGGCAGCCGCGGGCCGGGCGGTCTCATCCAGGGCCCTCTCCCTTTGCCCCGGTTGCACGTCTCGTAGGATCCCTTTGGGTGCTGCTGGAGCCGGCAGATCTGGGGCAGCTGTTTAAAATAACACTTTGGCACAGAAAAAGGGGGGACCAGAGAAAACGAGGTCTTCCCATGCAGTGCACGGGGGACGGTACTTAACCTCTGCGAATGCCTTGCCCTGACACAGAGTTTGCAGCCGAAACACCTTTTCCAAAGGCAGCCCTTTGCAGCCGCCCCGTGCCAGGGGCTGGCTGCGGGAAGCTGGTCCCCAGATCTTCCCTGGTAGGTGCTGGCAGACCGTCCACGTTCAAGCAGGATCGGTTCAGCCAGGGACAGGGGCAGGTGGGCTGTCAGGGGAGCCGGGAAAGATGTCTCACAAGGGGAGGCTAGTCGGGTCTTGCAGAAGGCAGGCTGGGAGGCTATCTGAGCCCGCTCTATAAATACACCAGACGGGTAAACACTTGGGAGAAGAAAAAACCCAACTATTTCAGCTAATGGGCACTGCTGCCACAAGGTATAAATCGATCAGGAGTAAAATTAGGCTGGAGAGGAGAAGGCAGGTCGGTGCTGCTGCCTGCGAGGCTCCGGCTGCCAGCACTGCCTTTTCCCCCCGGGGCTTGGTGCAAACAGGGGCGGACTCGCAGCGGAGACCCTGCGGCTCAGCCCAGCCGGGACAGGGATGTGTCCCTGTGGTGGCACGCTGCGGGCCAGCCGGAGGGGCCCCGGGCTCCTTGTTTTAGCCAGTCCCCCACCATCCATGACGCTCATCCTTGCTGTGCCCTCCTGGGAAATAACCACGCTCCGGAGGGGCAGGAGTCGGCATCCCAGTCCTAGGCTTTCATCCGGGGAGCTGGGAAGTAATCGGTATTTATCACTGCTGCTAATGAGAGGGTGCTCAGGCATTGAGCAGTTATCCGGGCTGTTTGCATGGCAAATGTCTGAGCTGCCTCCCATTAAAGCCACCCTCACTTTCTCCCTTCCAAGAAGCAAAAAAAAAAATGCCCTCACCACATCCACGTGGTGGCAAACAGAACCTGATTCATCCTTAGATAATTCGTGTACGTTCCTTTTCTCTTCTTTCCTGAGCAGCCTTTGCATATATATGAAGAAAGCTCTTAAGCGGCACTGCAGTCAAACCTGATCTGCTTTTAGAAGACAGGTCCTTAAATTACCCTGTCCCTCTCTGCAGGCAGGGAATTGCTAGATATTCTGGTGCAAACCCATGGTGGCGGTGGTGGCACGTACGTGTTCGGCTGCATGGGCTTGAGCCCTGCTGCGCTGGGCAGCGGCAAACCGCACGGCCTCGAGCTGGCTGCGGTGGGAGGGCAGGGAGTCCCGGGCGGGTGACCTGTAGGGCTGGTTGGGGATTTGATCCCCGGGAGTTTGGGGCTTGGAAATTTGGGTTTGGGGCAGCCTCGCTCGCTGGTGCTGGGGACGATGCCGTGGCGGTTTGCATGGCTCGAGCAGGTGGTGGCACTGGTGTGGTACCCTGACACCAGCCGGGCCCCATCCTCATGCCCGAGCAAGGACGCAGAGCAGATCTGGACATCTCTTCACCCAAGAGTCCAAGTCACCAGGCAGGTCCGGGTGACAAGGCAGGGCCAAGGTCAAGCTGGGGCATCAGCCTGCTGGGTCACGCTGCTCCTGGGGCTGCTGGCTGGCACTGGAGGGGCAAGCACCCACCTCACTCCTGCAAAAAGCTGGAGAAAGCAGCAATTCGGGCTCGTGGCTCCGGCCTGCCTGTCCTCTGCTGCGGCCCTACAGAAAAACCTCCTTCCTTGCAGCTTTTCTGGCTCAGCTGTGCGGGGCTGAGCTATGGCAGGCGGGCTGGAATGGGGACGTGCCCCTGCACTTGCCAGCCACGGGGTGCTGTGTGCCCCGGGCTGCTCCTCGCCCTTTAAGGCCCGGCAGCAGCTGATGGCCACGTGTGCGCTGCCTTGGCACGCTCTCCGTGCCCTCTGCGTGGCAGGCACAGGGACGACCAGCGCACTGGCTCGGGCGGCTGTCCCCTGTTGGGCGGCTGTCCCCCGCGCCGGCGCTGCTG